AGGGAGTAGAGAAAAGAGAGGGGAGTAGAAGTATGTGGGGTTTCAGGAGGGAGAAAAGGGGGAGTGGGCAGGGATCAGAGTGAGGTCACTGAGACACCAGGCTCATGCCTGTGATGGGGTTACCAAAGAATGGGCTGAAGAGATCCCTGGACAAAAGGAGTAGGAAAATTGGTATTTATGTACTTCTGTCTTCTTATTCTCACTGCTTTCTCCTATCTCTTATCTTTCTTTAGAGANGCTCACTCGGGAGAGTGCGGTGCTGATAACACCAAGGCCACGGGTTCGGATCCCATATAGGGATGGCCAGTTTGCTCACTGGGTGAGCGTGGTGCTGACAACACCAAGTCAAGGGTTAAGATCCCCTTACCGGTCATCTTTTTAAAAAAAAAAAAAAAGAAAGAAAGAAACATTACCATAATTAATAAAATAATAATAGTGACTAACATTTATTCAACAGCATGTGCCAGGCATTATCCTAAGGACTTTAGTAAATTAACTTATTTAATCCTTACAACTGTGCTATCAGGTAGATGTGGTTATTATTCCTGTTTTGCAAATGAAGAAATACAAGCATAGCAAATTAAAATAACCTGCCTAAAGTTACACAGCTAATAAACAGAGGAAATAGAATTCAACTCAAGCAGTCTGGTTCTGGAGCTTGCAGTTCTAACAGCTACTTTATGCTGCCTCTCAGGAACAAAAGTGAGATGTGCCAAAAGGCAGGCATATATCATAGTAGTTCAGAGGAGGAAGAAACTCATCTGAAGGGAATTTTGATAGTCTTTTTGGATGAGGATTTCCACATTTGAGTTGGACATTAATGGTTTCAGATATTGGGAGATAAGGGGAAAGGGCTTGGTGAGCAGAGGCACAGAGGCAGAAAGCAAAGAGCATACAGGAGGGAACAGTCTAGTTGGTGGGCAGCACATACAAAGATGTGGGGGGGTGTGAAGGTAGACAAGTTGAGGCCAGAGAACTCTGAGAAATACCCCTAAGCGTAAAGCTATATGTTCCGGAAAGGAGAAGAAACATAATGATGAAGAACGTTTCCTTCCCTTTATCTCTTGTAGCCCTTGTTTCTTTTGTTATCTTTTAAAGATTTTATTCATTTATTTACCAGCAACTTCTTTAGGTTTTACTATGTTCCTAGCACTGTGGCAGACACTGGGCCTATGAAGATAAAAACAATGTCCGTGTTCTCTAGGAACATACAGTTAACATGCAACAAGTACAGAGCTTGCTGATTGCTGTAGTAGAAGTGTGGAAGGATGTGCTAGAAAGAAGTGATGGAGTCTACAAGCCTACTTCAAGGAGGCTTTACAGAGACGTAGTGCTCAAAAGATGTGGCAGATGACACTGAGGGATAGAGCAGGCAGAATGAAAAGCAGACAGCATGAGAAGCTTGATAAATATTTCAAAGCTCAATATGATAAGAATGCATAGGGTAAGGAAGGTGAGAGAGGCTACTGTTGAGGTTGGTAAGGGCCCAGAGCATAAAGGGTTTTGAATACCATAGAAAAGAGTTTAGATTTTTATCTTGTGTGTGATGGGAGCCTTTAAAGAATCTTGGGGAAAGGAGTAGCATGCTCAGATTTGCATGTTGGAAAGGTCAGATTGGCCGCAATGTGACAAGGGATTGCAGTGGGTTGAGATTAGAGGCATAGTTCAGGCAAGAGGTAATGAGTGTCAAGTTAGGACAGTGGCAGTAGGGGTTGAGAGGAAAGAAATAGTTGCAAGAAATATATAGAAGGTAAAATTGATAGACTGGTGTATTCCTGAATGTGGGAATTCAGGGAGAGGCAAGAATCTAATAAGATTCCTGGGCAGCTGGATAGATGCTGGTACCATATACTGAGATAGAGAATATAAATAGGATACCGGTTTGAGAGAGAAGATTGAGTAAATTGATTGAGTAAATTGAGATTCATCGAATAAATATTTACTGAGGGCTTTGTTTGTGGCAGGCACTGTGCTAGATTTTGGGACTATATCCAGGGAAGAAGATGGTTAAGGTCTCTGTCTTAATGTTGCCTATAGGGAAGACACATAGGAAAACAAGTAAAGAAATACATTAAAAAGATCATAACTGGGTAACTTTGAGCCTGGGCCTAAGTCATTAAAAGATCAGTAGCCTTCGACTACTGGACAGTTGCAAAGGGAGGTATGGCTGGCTACTGCTCTTTGGGCCTGCTCTCCAACAGAGACCAGCCTGGAGTCCTAGCCCCTTAGGTAGTCCTTTCTCCTACACATTTTCTGTTTGAGAGAGGAGATTATCTTAAATTCTGGGCTCATGACACCTGCTTTAGTCAATGACCTTGGCAGATTGTGCTAACTTGGACCCTGCTAGAGCTGAATGGTAGGAGACAGTGATTGGAGAGTGGTATGTTTGTGATCAAGATTGGAAGTGGTACAGTTACCGGTAATGACCCTGGAGATTAATGGTGGTAATTAGATTAGGAAATTTGGGAGTTGCTGGATGGATTATCTCATGGATGTAAGCCATTGAGAATGACAAAAGGTAGGGATGGGGTGGGAAGGGAGATTATGAACCAGGAGTTTAGGTCTTCATGCATGAGTGAGAGCGGTTGGTGGATAACAACAAGGGAAGCGGAAAGGCTAGTTTAAGAGAATGGTAAATAGAGATTTGGTAGGAGCAGGAGATAGGGAAATAGCAATGTTCTGCAAATGGCAGTGGGGAGCAAGGAGGTCTCTCACCTCAGAACTATTGAATGGAGGATAGGTTAAAAGAAACCAGCCTCTGCTAGAAAGAACTGCAGGGGATGTGAGATGCACTGGAGATATCCAGGATTCATTCACTGAAGACAAGGAAATGGAGAGAGACCTGTGAGATAATGCCAGGTAGACATTCTTGGTGTCTGAAGATGCTGAAAACTCATATATTGTGATTACAACCTTTTTTGGTCTTCATTTTTCCAAATGGTAATGCCATTTTTAGTGTTTTTGCCTACAATTTTATGTCTCCTTGATCACTTATTGAAAGGTAATATAGAATAACTAGTGTCAAAAAACATGTAATGCTACTCACTGTTAATCAAGTACCTAGAAGGGCTCCTAACCACTTATTTTCTCCTCTTACCTCCTGTCTCCTGGGTTAGAATCCTTGCTGGCAGCCAGAGGTTGTGAACTTGTCAAATAAAAAGATAATTTAAGATAGTTTAACTTAGCTCAGTAAAGAGATTTCTTTCTCTGCAATCTAGTATCACTTTATTTTTTATTGAGATAAAACATATTCCCAGTAGAATGAACAGATGTTAAATGTTCAGTTCAGTGGCTTTTGATAATTTTATGTAACCACTGCTCAAAAGAGATATAGAACATTTCCGTTATTCCAGAAAGTTCTGTGCTGATTTCCACCTTTCTGAATTGAAATTTCTTGCCATCTCTAGGATTTTCCATCTATCATGTTAGCATTATGTTATTGTGGCTTCTTTAGATTCTGTATTCATTTCTTCCTTGCAGGAGACTGAAGAGCCAATTGTAGAGTGTCAGGAGTGTGAAACTGAAGTCTCCCCTTCACAGACTGGGGGCTCCTCGGGTGACCTGGGAGACATCAGCTCCTTCTCCTCCAAGGCATCCAGCTTACACCACACATCAAGCGGGACAAGTCTCTCAGCCATGCACAGCAGTGGCAGCTCAGGGAGAGGAGCCGGATCACTCAAAGGGAAAACCAGCGGGACAGAACCCACAGATTTTGCCTTACCCAGCTCCCGAGGAGGCCCAGGAAAACTGAGGTGCAGACAGGGTCTCCAGAGAGAGAGAGCCACAACAGGGGCAGGGTTGCTGACATTTTAATATCACAGGAAAAGGGGAGTAATGGGAAATCTCCCATCTTTGATCTAGGATAAATTAACTCCTTTTCCTCACCATTTGTTCTTCTATTTTGGGTTTGCTTGGGAGGGAGGATGGAACCCTGTGGCAGGTGACTTCATTGGCAAAGAAGCCCCTGAGAAGAATGTGGAAAACTGGCAAGGGGACTTTGGGACTGATGGGCACATGCTCCTACCATTCCTATATTCTGCAGCCTACACGTTTTGGTTGGGAGTACAGGAAGTTTGAGGTAGTGACCCCAACTTGATGCATCCCCTAGGTTTTTTTCATCTCCTGCAGGTGTCCATAGTCTGAAGTAGAGAAGGCGGGAAGAAATGGGTGTGCTGTTTTTGAGGGCAGCAGTAGGAAGCTTTATCAGGAGGGAATAGACTTACATAGACAAGGATGTCCTTTACCTGTTATCCTACACTCCCCACTCCCTGGTTGAGATTTTGATGGGGGGTGTGTGAACCAGCTTCCTACTGCCCTGAAGACCCAGCACATGTAGGCCTGGCATGTAGTCTGAGGGCCAAGGGGAGATTGTGAAGAAAGGATCCAGTAGCAGGTGCTATCAGACTAACTTGTCTTCATTCTCTAGTCCTAGAAAAGGGGTCAGTCAGACAGGGGCGCCAGTGTGTGAGGAGGATGGTGATGCAGGCCTTGGCATCAGACAGGGAGGGAAGGCTCCAGTCACGCCTCGTGGGCGCGGGCGAAGGGGCCGCCCGCCTTCTCGGACCACTGGAACCAGGTACCCGGGTAGTGTGAGATGTACTTAGTCTATGACTTGTTCAGGAAAAAAAGGGAGTAGAGAAAAGAGAGGGGAGTAGAAGTATGTGGGGTTTCAGGAGGGAGAAAAGGGGCCCACACTGACTGGGGAGTGGGCAGGGATCAGAGTGAGGTCACTGAGACACCAGGCTCATGCCTGTGATGGGGTTATCAAAGAATGGGCTGAAGAGACCCCTGGACAAAAGGAGTAGGAAAATTGGTAGTTATGTACTTCTGTCTTCTTATTCTCACTGCTTTCTCCTATCTCTTATCTTTCTTTAGAGAAGCAGCTGTGCCTGGCCCCTTGGGCATAGAGGACATTTCACCCAGCATGTCGCCAGATGATAAATCCTTTACCCGTATTGTGCCCCGAGTGCCAGACTCTGCCAGACGAGCAGACATGGTTCCTGGTGCTTTGCGTCGTAGTGACTCTCCAGAAATTCCTTTTCAGGCTCCTGCTGGCACCTCTGATGGCTTAGATCCCTCCTCTTCAGGGAACAGCTTTGTAGGGCTCCGTGTTGTAGCCAAGTGGTCATCCAATGGCTATTTTTACTCTGGGAAAATCACTCGAGATGTTGGAGCTGGAAAGTATAAATTGCTCTTTGATGATGGGTACGAGTGTGATGTGCTGGGCAAAGACATTCTCTTGTGTGACCCCATCCCACTGGATACTGAAGTGACAGCCCTCTCGGAGGATGAGTATTTCAGTGCAGGTAATAAGAGAAGTAGAGTCTGTAGAGATTTACTGTGCCCTGTGGAAATACTCTGTTCTGTCAGTAATTACCAAGATATTTACCTCAGCCTGATTACTTTTAGGGGGTCTCTAAAGTCAGAAATTCCATTCCTACATCACTGGTTACTCATGCCACTTGCTTTTTTTGTTGGTTGTTCATTCGATGCTTGTTTGTTTTTGAATAAACTTCTTATTTTGGAATAGTTTTAGATTTTCAGAAAATTTGCAGAGTACAGAGTACTGCTTGTACTAAGAGTTCCTGTATACCCTTTACCCAGCTTTCTCTAATATTAACATCTTACATTAGCATGGTACATTTTTCAAAACCAAGAAACCAACCTTGGTTCATTACTATTAACAAAACTCCAGGCATTATTTGGATTTCATCAGCTTTTCCATAATGTCCTTTTCTGTTCCAGGGTCCATTCCAGGATACCATATTGCATTTAGTCGTCATGTGTCCTTTGGTCCCCTCTGATTTGTGGCAATCTCAGTCTTGTTTTTCATGACCTTGACAATTTTGAGGAGTACTGGTCAGGTATTTTGTAGAATGTCCCTCAGTTTAGGTTTGTTCAATGTTTTCTCATTAAACTGGAGTTACGGGTTTTTTAAAAGAATGCCACAGAGGTGAAGTACCCTTTTCATCTTATCATATGGAGGCTGGGTGTGATGTGTGTAACACCCACATGGCACATACTACATGATTACACTGGTGTTAGCTGTATCTCTCCACATTTAAGTTAGTGTTTTTCTCTTTCCATATTCTGTTCTTTAACCACTGAATTATAACCTGACTACTGACCTTGATGGGAGCCTGGTGGGTGAGTGTGGCAGATATGTTGAGATATTGTTGCTTAAAAGGAAGTTGTTAGTGCTTTGTTTGTATGCCTGCACACCCACCACTTATTCTCTGGTTTGAAGAATGGTGCTTTTTTATTTTTATTTTTATTTTATTTTATTTATTTATTTATTTATTTTTCCTTTTTATCTTTTTTTCATGTCCGGCAACGGATCGCAACCCTCAGTGTCGCGCCCGTACCGGACCAGGACCGGCAACGGGATCGCAAACCTCGGTGCTGCGCCTGCACCTCGCTCAGCCAGTGAGCGGGAACCAGTCTGCATGTGGGATCCGAACCCTCAGCGGGAGCGCCGCCGCGCTCTCAAGCGGCGCACTGTAGCAGTGCGCCACCGGGCCGGCCCCTTATTTTTATTTTTGAAATAGCTAGTATTTGGTGATGGTCAGGGATTTGTGTTTGTTATTACTATTTCATGTGCTAGTTCTTTGAATATATTGTCTCCTTTCTATGAACTAATTTGAAGCTAACTATTTGTGTTTGTCATTTAAAAACATCCTTTGTGGGGATTTTTTTGAACATGAAGTGGGATACAATTGGCAAAAAAGCCTTTCGATTGAAGTCTCTCCAGGCTCTCTTGTATTTGGAATCCTCTGAGTAGTTGCTGTTTGCCCCTTTGTTTCATTGTTAAATGAGCCATTTTATTTTCTAGTTCTGGATAACACTTTTAGCTAATGTGCCATCAGTTAAGTAGCACATGGATTGGGGTTTTTTATGACCTATGACTCAGTTTTCGTGTGTCAAATGTATTAGTTTCTCTTTCAGGTATAAAGCCATTCTTGGAGGCCCACACTGGCTCTTTTAAAACAAAGATAGATAATTCTGTATGCAAAGTGAATCATGACATCAAGGGGTGGAGATTCTGTGTCCATTTATTGAGGCTATCTACTACTATCAACATTAGACTGCTTCTAGTTCTAGTAGCTCTTCATTAGTGTGAAGTGTATTGTTGGCTTTGGGCTTCTTTATGCTTTTGAGGTAGTCTTTGTGATTTAGTTAGTGATAGAGATTTAAGCTAGGAGATAAGCGAGGGGCAAGAGTGATTCTGTGGCATAGATAAGGAGAGAACTGAGGCCTGCCTTCTCCCGTATGTTGTTTTCCTTGGTGGGGTTGGCTCTGGATTTCTTTTAGCCCTTCATTCAAGCATGGGCTAATGGGAGAGAACAAATGGACCCTTCCATTCATAGGAATGAGATAGTGTTCAGAGTAATGTCTTGTTTTTATATTATACATGTGTTGTGTGTGTTTGTCCTCTAAATTGTTTATTGGTTGGTACAGGGGAAGGAGTGTCCTCTTTCACAGGATTGAAAACAGGTCTTGCCCAGGATCACACAGCCTGGTATAGCAGCAGGATTAGAACCAGGCCAGGTCTACTGAATTGTAGCCCAGTTTCCCTGTACATCCCACATTGTATTCCTTCTAAACTAAAGGACTTATCTTCAGGTTCTGAATCAGAGCAAGAGCAGGAAGTAAATAGGGAGGGAAGATTAGGCTTTTTCCTTTCTATGTTCTATATCTCTATTCTGATTTTGCTGCACAACAGATACAAACACACACACACACACGCTCTCTCTCAGAATAGTGTCATTTTTTACCTACAGCTTAACTAAAGACCTATCACTCAGCCTCCAAAGAAACCAAGAAGGAAGAGTTTAGTAAGTTATAATGGGACCATCAGGAAACCACATGCCATTTCGCTTCAGGGGAACCATTTGAACCACTAACAATCCATAAAGGCTGGCTTTGGATTATGTCCAGAAATTTACCTTGTTCTAATCCCAGAGTAGTAGTTACATATATTCTAAGTGTTGTTACTGTTTGGGATTGACAACCAGAATTTTGTTAAGTCCTAACTTCAGGGGTCTCTGAATTCCCTGAGGCCCTTGTAAGATGGTGCTATGCAGCCTTAAACAACAGCAAGCTTCTTTTGGTTTTTTCTCCCCAGGAGTGGTGAAAGGGCATAGGAAGGAGTCTGGGGAATTGTACTACAGCATTGAAAAAGAAGGCCAAAGGAAGTGGTATAAGCGAATGGCTGTCATTCTGTCCTTGGAGCAAGGAAACAGACTGAGAGAGCAGTATGGGCTTGGCCCATATGAAGCAATAACTCCCCTCACAAAGGCAGCAGATATCAGCTTGGGTAAGAATTTTGCTTCCTGAACAACTGTGTTTGGGTCCCTGCTCTGCCTACAGTTGGAGGAGTGGTTTCTGGAGCAATCAGTAATGTTTCCCTAACTCTTATTTTACCTGTATGTGGCTTCTCAGATGGTGGTGAGCTGTCATTTTCTAGTGTTACTGCCTTATCTGTTTCCTTCCCAGTACCAAATAGTAAGTCCTTAAGGTTTTTCTGGCCTCCCCAGTTCTATAGGGGACCAATGGAACAGAAAATATGATGGCCTTAAAAAGAGGCTTCCTGCCCCCGTGGGAAGTGGCGGAAAGGGCACTGTGGTATCTAAATCAGACTTTGCCCAGCTTCTTGGAGTTCAGGGCCTCAGATAATGGGATTTGACCAACCTTTGGTGTATCCTACTGTAGATAATTTGGTGGAAGGGAAGCGAAAACGGCGCAGTAACATCAGCTCCCCAGCCACCCCCACTGCCTCTAGCAGCAGCAGCACAACCCCTACCCGTAAGATCACAGAAAGTCCTCGTGCCTCCATGGGCGTTCTCTCAGGCAAAAGAAAACTTGTCACTTCTGAAGAGGAACGGTCTCCCGCCAAGCGAGGCCGCAAGTCTGCTGCTGTGAAACCTGGTGAGTGCTCCCTCAGACCTCATTCTCCCTCCAGACTACAGCAGAATGCGGGGTCGCCTGCTGTAAAGATGGAGCCTAATATGTGGCAATGGCTCCTTTGTCCTGGCTACAAAGTTGGGGTCCAGTACAAGCCTACAGGTGGTAGTCAGAGGCAGCTTACTATATTCCCCTAACCTCCGTCCTCTCAGCAGCCAGTAGGGGTACATAGGAGGCCAGGTCTTGATCACAAACATTAGTTGTCTTTGTGTGGGTTCTAGGAGGGAGGGAAGAAGTATTAAATTTTAAGCAGATTCAAAGTAGGTGAAATTTGTCTTAGATCTCTTCCTTTGCCTGCATCATCTTCTGCTTCCTGGAAACTCTGTTCCCCTCTCCCTTGTGCTAAGGATTCGCTGGCTTTCTCAAACTTCCTATAAAAAGGTTGTACCTCAGCCTGTACCTCCCCTTTTCCCACTTTCCCTCAAACAACCCCTTTCCAGTCCCTGATGTTTGATATTAAGAGAGGAGGTCAATCCATCTATTGTTTATTAAGTCTCTGCTATGACCCAGACAATGCGGCTGTGGGTTCTGCAGATACAGAAGTAAAGCCCTCAGTCTCTGCCCTGATGCTACTCTCTCGGGCTAACAAACTGATGAAATTCCATTGGTTGGTACATTGTCCTGGCACCAGAGCTCCTTTTGTTTCCTCTGTATTTGAGTTGTGTCATCTCCTTATCTGCCCAACATCGTTGCTATGTTTCAGGGTATTTAAAAACAATAGTTAACTTTTATTGAATATTTACTGTGTGAGGCATGGAACTGAGTTCCTCATACATATTACCTCTTATATAATTCCTGTGAAGTATAGGTGCTAAAATATGTTTTCTAGTTGAAGAATCTGAGGCACAGAAAAGTTGGTTAACTTTCCTAAGGGGACAAAGTAAACTAGGATTCAAACTCAGTCAGTCAAGACTTCGAAGTCCAGCCTCATATGTGTACATCATATTGCCTCTGAGACTGTTGTCTTGCTGCTGGTTTTATTTTAGGGAGGCATGCATGACGTGTCTGTCATCTTAGCCTCCTAATGAACCTGCGATTCAGTTTCTCCAAGTCAGGTATGTTTTCTTCTTCAGGACTTGTTGGGGCACTCCTAGCATGGGTGTTCTGGGAGTCTAGGACTGGCTGGTTCACTTACCTACCCAAGTATTGGAAACTGGGAAAGTTGAAGCAGGCTGTGTTGAAGTTGCTCCACCTATGCGTAAAAATACTTTATTACCAAGTATTCTCTGTGCCACTCTGCTGAGGGTCAGAGATGGGGTGGGAGGATCTGCTGGGGATATTTCTTGGTAATAAAAAAGTGTTTTGTTTTGTTTTTTAAGGCTGCTTCAAAATTTCACATACCCTGGGGGAAATCAGAGCACTGGGCAGAGAAAGTGGGCTGAAGATTTCCAAACACTTTTCACACTCACCTACTCTGAATTAGAACCACCTCACTCTTCAGATGACCTCAGAAGTATTTGGTTTGCCTATATAAAAACAATACTAGTTGATTTTCATTAATGAAAACTATACATTGTCATGACTCTAAAATTTAAATATATAAATTTGTCTTCATTGTAAATTTGGTCCTAGGTTGTAGGCTATTTAGAATGGTTGGCCATAGCAGTGGTCTTTGTTCATAGCTCAGAAATGTTCATCAGAACATTGCCTAGCCATCAGATCATGCTTGGTCCTAGGGCCTTTGCTCAGGCAATGGTCTGTATCCCTCTAGTAACTGTGCCTCTGTCCTTCCCAGGTGCGGTGGGAGCAGGAGAGTTTGTGAGCCCCTGTGAGAGTGGGGACAACACAGGTGAACCCTCTGTCCTGGAAGAGCAGAGAGGGCCTTTGCCCCTCAACAAGACCTTGTTTCTGGGCTATGCCTTTCTCCTCACCATGGCCACTACCAGTGACAAATTGGCCAGCCGCTCCAAACTGCCAGATGGTCCTACGGGAAGCAGTGAGGAAGAGGAGGGTAAGGCCCTAGGAAGTCCTGGGGGCTCTGCCATATGTGGAGGAGACAGAGCAATTGCAACTGGGATCTTGGTCAGGGAAGTGAATATTGATTTGTACCCTGCTTCTTGGTTTGTAAACTGTTTTCATAAAATTCTTCTCAGTGAGTGTTTCCTCAAAATCCTGTGAGGCAGATGGGAGATAGATCTTATCCATTTTACAGATGAGGAAATAAGCTTGGAGAAGTTAAATAACTGCTTCTTGCCCACAATAATGGCAGACTTGGGACTAGAACACCATGTTCATTTTACCATACTACAACTGTCGTAGTCAATCAGGTTTCTAAATGCCCTGCCATCTCTCCCATTTGTCTTTCTAGGGGCAACTGCCAGAGCAAACCCACGTAGAGGGTGAGGTTCATTCTCTTGAGGTCTGAGTGTAAGATTGGGAATGTGAGGTTTCCAATGCCCCGGGGTTATTAGAAAGAAATCACTTCTAGGCCTTTTCAACTCTCTTCAACCTTATACTAAATCTATATATTACATTTCTGTGTTGTCTGTTACTTAGTGTTTGAGTGAAAGTTGCAGTGGGGAAAGGTAAAAATTATTTCAACAGTCTGAAAAGTGTGATATAGGAGAGAGATTGAGCAGATACAAATGTATACACTATAATATGATTGACAGTAGTATCCAAATGTGTCCATCAAGGCTAAAGGTCAGATGGAGTGATGTTCTCCCAACTGGAGATCAAATTAGGGAATGTGGTTGTCATTAAATAGCGCCACTGAAGGTGCGTAATGGTTGGAAATTTCGGATGTGTGGATAATGCTTTCCTAATTAACCAGAACTATATATGTCACCAATTTCAGTCGTGTACAAGGACATGGGAAGAGTGATTAGGGAGTTGCAGTTAAGGTTTATGCTATTTGGAAGGTGCATAGAGTTGTGAGTAGAGAGGCTCTGACGGGGAGAGTTAGGCTGTGGGAACAGGTGTAGTGTGTGTGTGGGATTTCAATGTTTAGTGTGTACAAAGCCTACTTTGTCAAACAGAATTCACATTGCTACAATGGGAGATAAATAGGGTATGTGAGGAGTATCCTAGCCAAGAATTTAGTTTTACTTTGATCATAAACAATTGGGAGTCCCTT